CAACTTATGTTGATGAAGAGCATAAAATTCGTACTGGCAACTATGTTTAGGGCCACATTCCAAAAAGAATACTCATATTTTGAAAAAAAAATCAACATGACTTTATTCGAAGTTCTGTTTTTGATGAACACAATTTATTTACAATACTAGTGGTGCTACAACAGCACGTACTTGCTCGCGATATTGTTAATGGATATGTAATATATGACAATTTCTGTCTTGCACTTGACAAACTATCATTTGATAAATTCGTATAAAATGAAGCGAAAAAAATACATGTATTTTATTAATTCAAATACTTCATCGAATAGTACCTGCCGTCGAATAAGTACCTGCATCGATAATACCTGCCGTTGAATTAGGTGTTTTAACGTTCTACATAAATGTATCGATTTCATGCTTATTTTAGCTTTAAATAAAATTTTTAGTTAACGCGAACGAATGGGAGCGGTTATTATCGCCTTGTTATGAGAGCGGCATTACACCAATGGGTTGCAAACAGCAACAATGATCGCTAATTCATAAAGAATACAATATTTCCAAATTAGCATTTCATTGAAAATTACAAAAATTTTAATTATTTTTGGCCTTTTCGTATATACCATAATAGAGAAGATCTTTTCGAATAAATGAAATCTGTTCCTTAGGACAAATCAGGAAATAAGGTATGTTAAACTTTTCGAAAATTTGAGTAAGTTTTGTGTATTTTTTTTGTGAGAAATACAGGTAATTAAGAAAAGTATTTCCAATTTTTTCTTTAAATTTTCTCATCATATGTAATAATAAATGGTTAAATTTTTTATGCTAGTCCCATATCGCTAGGTGTTCGGACAACTGCAAAAAAACATTTCAAAACTAATAAATAAAGAGAGATTTTCGTCTCAGACAAAGACTTTTCTGCAAAATTAGCTTCTAAAACTAGTCATGTTCAATTATTTAAAACAAACGACTCCTTTTTACGTAATTTGCACTTGCAATTTTCACAACATCTTTTTTGAATGTGGCTCCTAATTTTTGTTTACATTTTCTCCGAATATGTAATAAGGGACCGTAAACAATATTATGCTAGTCCCATTTTCGGGTATTGCTAGTTGTTTTCAATTGCAAAAAACTGATAAACTACAAAATTGAAGATAGAGATTTTGTATCAGGCAAAGTCTGTTGTACAAAATTATCTCTTTAAAAAAGGTCATGTTTTTGTAGAAGATAGTGCTTTTGGCATAATTTCTCTGTGGAATTAATGAAAAATTTATAGGCGTTCCGCCGACTATGGACAAGAAGAAATATATTGGATCAAAACGATATGAAAAATTATTCATCTTAATTTAATTTAAAATACTATGAAAATCTCAATATTCATTTGATTTAATCTATTCAACAATTTGTATTTTCAATGTGTTGAAGTATTTTCGTTCAGTCAATTCACAAACGTTAAATGAAATTAGACTAATTATAGTTACATGTATTTATAATAACAAATTTTGTTTTTACGTCCAGAAAATAAAATATTTGAATACTAATTAAAAAACCTACAGTTGACTAGTTTCTGACAACGCCTTTTTCTCCCCCAATTGGCAGAATTCAGCCTAATATCACATACCTGCACTGCACATAAAGCTCCAGTTTTTCCGTTACCACAGTACGTAATATTTCGAGTTAATGATGCTGGTTGGGAGCTGATTAACGAGGTGAGGGATTGTTGAAATGGCTTCGTTGGGTCAGCAGCCAGCTCCTTCCACTTACCTTGATAGCTTTGTTATTAGCAACTCGGAGAACGACCGCTTATAAGGCAACGCGAATGCATTCCTTGTTAGTATCTACAGTGGATGCAACATTATTTATTACATTAGGAGAATTAGTAGGCAAATGCAATGACAGCGGCCTTCGCTGGCATGCGCACGCTCGGTATCTGGCTGCCAAAATTAAAACACCTTTTGAAACCTCTTCTCCGTTCTCCCGACTTAGCAATTCATTTAAAGCGCCGCTTATTCTCTGAGTGCGTGCGTCCCTTGTGAGGTACGCGTGTGAGGTATTCGCGGCCGCTTCTCCCTCCACCAGAGAACAGAGCAACGCACCCG